CCTGCATTCATCATTCGCAATGGTCAGCGGTATGGATGGCCAAAGGAGGTCGAACGTGAGTGCCACTCTGAACAGGCCAGCGCTTCATGCTTCTCCAGGAGGGGCTGAGGATTTCGGCAGCGGACGGAGCTCCCTGGGCCTCGACTCCGGGCGTCAGGAACAGTGGATGAACGATTATTATGATCGCAGGGCGACCAGAAATCACGGCCCAAATGGTAGGTCTGGCAGTTTCCTTGTGTCCAATCAATGCAGCAAGACAGAAACAGGGTCGTCTTTGCCACCGCGCCAGCAGCGACCGCAGCGCGTACCTTAAGGTAAGGTAACCAGCCCAGGGGTACCTCCCTCACCGGCGTCATAAAACTAGCGCCACGTCTTTGTCTCGTCGTCAGGCAACGGTTTCGCTGCATGGCGGTCTGCCTTGAAAACGGCAGGCGAGGTTGACTTTGCTCTACCGCCTTCAATAAGTACCTACCTGCCTAGCTGGGGAAACACCTGCCTTACTTTCTGGTGGAAAGAAACAAACGGGCAGTGGCTGGCAACTGCAAACCAGCTGCACCTTTTGACGCGACCCTTTCATCGGTTTCAGACGATCCAACAAGCAAGAACCCAGTCACGCAGCTGTCCCTGTTTCAACATCCGAATTTATCTTCACCTCACCCACGCATTGGATTGGCCCTGCTGCTGACTCATCTCTCAACCCAGGTGGCTCGCATGCAGACGACGACGCCTCTGATGACGGCGAGGCATTCCCCCCACAACGCGTCAATTGGGCTGCTATGAGAGCAGATGCAAGCATGGAAGAGTATCTACGAAATGCACAGATTCCCGAGTACTCGGATGAAGAGGGCGGCAGCGGTCCTCTGGAAGACCTCGGTGACATCTCCGCCGAGGACACCAGTGTCGAAGACGGCGAGAATCACATCGACCAGCAAGAAGAAGAACCCGAGTTCGATCCTGTTGCTGCCGGTCTGAAGGAGATCTCAAACCTGGGGAAGTTCACCGTCAGCAGCCACAAGCAGGGGAATGGCGTTGATCAGCTCCGGCATGACAGCCTTAAGAGTTACTGGCAGTTTGTCTCCCTCTACACAATGTTTTGGCAAGGGCAGCACGAGACTGACTGCTTGCAGATCCGACGGGCCTCAGCCCCACAAATTGACCGTCTACTTCATCAAGCGTGTCGGCATCAGAGACATCCGCTTCTACGTGGACTACAACGAGGACGAGTCCTACACGCCCACCAAGATCATCTTCAAGTCAGGAACCAGCGAGAACAATCTCATTCAATTCGCCACTATGGATCTGTCAGCACCTTCAGGATGGCAGCTGGTTCCCATCGCTGGCTCCGGCGGTGGTCCTGACGGCAACACCCTGGTGTCGTATGTGTTCCAGATGCAGATACTCGAGAACCACCAGAACGGCAAAGACACACATCTCCGTTCTATCAAAATCTACGCAGCGGACACCGATGGCGCGAATGTCGAACGGGAACGGGACTCTAACAACGTCTCTGTACACAGCGTGAGTACGATTAATCGCATTATACATCGCCCGGCTGACAAGTTCATGCGAAGGACCTCACCATGGAGGATGTTGCTGCGGATGAAAGGCCAGCCGACCCCTGGGACATCTCTGTACTTGAAGCTGGCCTTCCTATCCCCGACTTCATGAAAGAGCCTGAGATTCGATGAGCGATGGGACACGCGGCAGCCCCGCCTCCTGAAATTACAAAGGAGAGTCGTGCCGGAAGCCTGGTTTACGAATTTCACGAACGAGAAAATGCGAGTGTGACGGATATTAGTAGCATCAGTTCTTGTTTTACTGTAATGATACCCAAATCGGACACGGAAAAGAACCGGATGAGAATCAGGCGTTGGATGGGGAGGTGCAGGTCAGGATCGAACGTCGGACGGTTCAAGTCACGCACCACCACGATGATGTGAATCTATACTCATTCACTGATTACTCAATATGATACGTTGAATCCTATTCCTGCTCCATGGTCTTGGCGGCGTTCAACGACTGGTCGACCCCCGTAGGTTGCAGCAGCATGCAGAGAGCTTAGCGCGAGCGGCTGAGTTTTGGTGTGGCAGGTTTACTCTCTGCATTCATCGTGATCCCTGCAGATCCGGACAAATTAACCCGTATCTGACACCGAGACTGGGTTGCGACAACAAAGCCCACGTGATGTGGTGATGAATTTCCTCGCATCACAGCCTTTGAAATGGCGAACGCGAGGCTGATCTTTGGAACACTCAGATCTGAAGCACCGAAGTCTGCGATACTCAACACCCTGCGACGATGGACCAAGATGCATCGTATCGTTATCAGCCTCTGCCGCCTGTTGTTGAGCAAACTCGTCCACCGCCTTTCACACGGCTGCTGTTGCTCAAACCAGGGTCAGCTGAAGACCCTTTCGAGGCGCATCTAGAGCTTGTCCACATCGAGCAAGCTCCTCCCTACGAAGCCCTGTCATACACTTGGGGCAAGCCGACAGAACAACCGAGAGACTACATTTGGCTCGACGGTCATCCATTACCCATCAAACCAAACCTCGAAGATGCGTTACGGTCACTGCGTTTCCCGAACCAGGCTCGGCGTCTCTGGGTTGATGCTCTCTGCATTGACCAGTCGAACCTGGACGAGCGCGCTCGTCAGGTTCAATACATGAGGCTAGTCTACAAGCATGCCGCCCGTGTCGTTGTTTGGCTGGGTCTCAAGACTAGTGGAACTCATGAAGCATTGCAAGCTGCGGAGAGGATTGCTAGACTCAGAGAATACACAGACCCGGCTCGCAGCGGCGCGGATAGTGCTCCGCCTGACTCGGATACTCTTCAGGCTCTAGTCTCTAGCATGATGGAAGATATCCCTGAGTCTGCCATGACGAATTTGGATGAGGTATTCCAACGGCCATACTTCACTCGCTGCTGGTGCGTTCAAGAGATTGTGGCATCGTCCTGGGCCATAGCCAAGATTGAGGATTTGGAGATGTCGTTTTTCGACCTGATCGCATCATCCTTATTCCTCGTACAATTGAAACAAGAAGTGGCGGTAAACGCACCATGGGAGCTATGGAACAATATCTTGATGGTCCGGCAGCCCAACCATCCAGTGTACCAGACAGAGGTGCAAGGATCTCTGGGCGGCTTTCTGCACCTTCTGGAACTCACACGAACCTTTCAGGCGACTGATGACCGCGACAGGATATTTTCCTTGCTCGGAATCTGCGACGAGGGAATCAATCCTATACTGGCTTTGACAGCGACGGCGAGTGGCCAGGTGAGCTGGCGCGGCCGCCTGGTCCGTCGTGGGTTGAAGCGAATATCTGATTTCATCAACGAATTCCACCCCCAAGGCACTTTCGGCACGCCCAAGGCGCTGATGCCGGACTACAAGCGAGAGACGGTGGCGGTCTACTGCGACTTGGCCAGGTTTCTCCTCCGCAAGACACCGCGGGTGCTGGACGTCCTTGACCATGTTTCGCACAACCAGGAGCCAGGGATAGGAGAGTACCCGTCTTGGGTACCCAAATGGTTCGAGGGAAGAACGTGTCTTGTCTTCAGAGGAGTCTTCTTTACTGGGTTCTACTCAAAAGGCCGCACTGATCCATACCTGGCCGATCTGCACGATATTCCCGCGGTAGCTGAGCCAGTGCGACCACGGGTCCTCTCTGTCGATGGATACCATGTGGACGTCGTGGACAGGATGAGCGATGTATTTGAGTTTGTCTCCGGGTCAAGGCTCGCAGGGTTTGCCGTTATCAAGGCTTGGTTTGACCTCTACGGCTTGCCCATCAACCCCAGGAGGGGAACATTATACCGCGACGGAAGTTTGCTCGACATGGCGTTTTGCAAGGCAGTCTTGGGCAGTTTCTTTGGGGCATCCATCGGATCCAACTACTCCTCGATGATGCAATATGGCGGGTTCTCCATGGCCTTGGACCAAAGCCTGTTTGGGTCGGTCGAAGAAATAAAGCAGGATACACTGGTCAAAGATCTTTCTGAGAACTTCCTGGCCTTTACAACCTTCTTGGCCGAGTCTGGAGCCGTGCAAGAGTCGTTCGGAGACCCCGAGCGCGACAGAAAACTTGTGAGCTTCTTGGTAGGGGTCGCTGTTGCTGCCAACCACCGCCGCGTTTTTGTGACTCGAGACGGGCGCGTGGGGATCGGCCCCAAGATGATGCGGCCCGGGGACGAGGTCATTGTGTTGTTTGGAGGTCGCATGCCTTTTGTCGTACGCCGAAGGGAGAATCACCATCTTCTTGTGGGAAGTTGCTATGTCAATGATGATGAGCTTATCTGGGGGAAAATCACGGATAATGTGAAGCACAACCGAGGCGGTCCTCGGACTGTGACTTTTGAGTTTCATTGACACTAGTTCGCAGAGAGACACATTCTCTGCTGGATGGAAGACGATATCGGAACGATTTTGCTGCGAGTTGAGGCAAGTCAGACCCTCGGCCTAGCCCTCTGCGGGCGTTGAGTAACACAGCAACAGCTCGCTGAATCCGGCGCCGGGAAGGGCCGAAGTTGCTCTGGCCAAGATCGCAAGAGCTTGGGCCTCTGCCGCGAACTATGTTGGTTGATAGGTCGAGAAGTTGGGACGACACATGGAACCGGCAGAGTAGAGGGGGAAAATTCCCCGATGTCGCCCCTCCACCATGCTTTGGCAGGCGGAGGAGGAGTCTCGAACGCAGTCGAAGTTCATGCTTCGGGCTCAGCTGACAGGAAAACTGGGCAATGAAGCAGACGCCCTTTGGTGAAGCTTTAAGCGTGAAACATAACGCAGCCACTGACGCATCGACGGACTGCGATGCGGGGCCGCCCGGCCACGTCTAGACCGTGGCCCATGATGTCATTTTAGTAGCTTGTATCTTTTATATATATCCATCTTGAAGTTCCCGTAGAGCTTATTTCGGAGATTGGGCGATATATGGCCGATGAGACGCCGGCGTGTTCTTCCCGTCACATCACAACCGAAGGCAGCGAAACAAAGTGCGCACGATGCAGATCGTCGTCGTCCCCGCATCGCCCAAGACTGGGCAAGCCACGATACAAGCGTTGTTGGAAGATCCATCGGAACCGACAGTGACAGGGGTCTATCGGGATACAGGAAGAGTGCCAGCCGAATTCAGGGAGCATCCCCGGTTCAGGGCTGTCAAAGGCGATGTCGCGAATGTTGGGAGTCTCAAGTTTTCCGGAGCAGACGCAGTGGTGACCATCACGCCGCCACTATATTCCGAATCGAAACCGCTGACCAGAGCGCGAGAGATGGCGGCGAATGTCAAGTATGCCATTGGTATGGCTGGGGACTCGGTCAAACGGTTGGTTTATATCTCAAGCGTGGGGGCGCAGCTAGAACACGGCACGGTAAGCTGGGATCTGAACGAGCGGCGGGAGGAAACTGGGGCGATAGGGGCCTAACTTTTGCTAAGATCTGAGTGTAGGGCGAGATAAAAACAAATTACGAAGCTGAACAGGCACTTATTGGCTCTGCGCCGGAGGTTGTGTTCGTGAGATGCGCGTACTTTATGGAGAACTGGGCGGCGGCGCTAGAGACTACCAAAAGCGAGAAGCGCCACTTCCACTCTGTTATATCGCCTGCGGACTACAAAATACCCATGGTGAGTGAGCGTGGTTTATACACCAAGGTGGGTTTGATGGTTGTTGATGGTCTTCTTACAGGTCTCGGTACACGACATCGGCAAAACTTGCGCCGCGCAAGCGCTCGCAGCCGGATCCCCCCTCGGCGAGAATCCTTACGTCTTCGATCTCCACGGGCCGGACACGTATTCGACGGAAGACGTGCGAAAGGTTTTCGAGGGGAGGATAGGAACGGGCGTCGAGGCGAAGCTAGTCGAGGGCGTTCAGCTGGAGGAGTTCTTTGGCGAGATCTTCCGGCCCCCGATGGCCGGCATGTTTGTGGAGATGACGAGAAGCTTCTTGCCTGGCGGGGTTGCGGTCGAGGAGATTGTGGAAGGTGCAAGAGTTCAACGAGGAAAGACGACACTAAGTGAAGCTGTTGAGAGGATGATGGGTGGAAATGGGTAACGTCCTCACACGAATTAGTGAGGGCGATGTTAGTAGGGGCCTACTGATTGAAATTGTAGCATCGAACCACGCCTACGGGTACAGATCAAGTCAAACCGCACAAGTGGTAGCAGGAAGCATCGTGTAATTCAAGTTCAAAAAAACAAAGATGGACCAAAAAGATACTAGGGGGAAAAATCAAAAAACGAAGCTGGATGTCAATCGCGGACGGGAATTGAGCCCGACGTGGGGGTCGAACCCACAACCTTGAGATTAAGAGTCTCACGCTCTACCGATTGAGCTAGCCGGGCGACTGGACCCAGCTGGTATGTTGGGGTATCGGGCCGTTTGGCAGCTTATGATGCATGGCTTGACAGCCATCGCGCCACGTCCGCCCGAACGAGGTTCGAAGTTCTGATGCCGCATGTCGAGTGCGCGATGTCCAGAGTGAGTCAGAATCTGTGCAATTTTTTATTTTTTTTGGTTTCGAGAAGGTTTTGTTGCATTCCAGGTAGGTTTGTTTGTCTTGCTTTGCTCACTCCCGAAAATTGACCCAATTCGTCGAGCCGGAGCCGAAGCCGACATTCCTAAACTCCCATCCCTCCCGACAGATTGATCTATTAAAATCTCAACCTTTTTCCCCTCTCGAATTATCGTTACTCATTTGATCACATGAATTAGACTTGCTACTGGTTTATGTGTAAGATTATATTTTTAAGAAATTCATCCCCTTAACCGTATCGAACAAACGCATGGCATTCCAGCGATTCGGCATCGGGTCTCAAAGTTCACGGCTTCGTAGGATTCGAACCCCTGCCTCAGTCCCTAACCTTCGGGCTGTACAGGGGTCTGCGGTTCCACACCCGTCGAAACAAACAGGACCCTGAAAGTCTTTTGGCTTTCTTAACGGTTCTCAGAAGCTCTACACTCAGAAAACAAAACAGCTAGACGGAACAAGACCGTAAGCTGTCGTACATATCGCTGTAGTTCACCAGGCAGGCGGCAGGGGATTTATTGCTTGAAAGAGAAGAAGGTTTATTCGCCTGTATCAGTGGGATCGTGCAGAACAGCACGCCTTGTAGAGCTCCATGCCCCCACAGTCAGCCGGCGGAAGCAGCAGACCCCATTCAATAAGCTGCGAGCAGCATGGCAATGCAGTGTCTCGTTGGTTAGTCGGTGGTCATCGTGATGTTGTCATTGTATTCTTGGCCCACTGTCGGGGGACTTTGGTTGTGGAGACACATCGGACTGATTTCTCGGTTCGAAAATGCCATGCTCGGCTCAAAATCCCATGCGAGGGGTTGGGCGGAAAATAGCTACCTATTGTACCATCACACAATATAAAACGAGATCGTCATCCAAACTAATTTGAGGCCTTCTTGTTCTTCTTTCTTGCTGAAACATCGAAATCAGCCGGCTCAAGATGTCAGTGTTAAGAAATCAAGAAGACATAGATACCGTCACGGTCATGATGGACGGCGAGAAAGCACAGAAAGTATCAGACACTAGCAGTCACAACTCAGATAAGAATGATCCGGGGGAACTTCAGATGGATCACGGTGTCGTCGCCTGGCTTCAAGTTTTGGGAAGTTGGATTCTTTTTGCCAACACATGGTAAGACAACAAACCCTCTATACGTATTCGGCTTCAACACCACCTTTCAAGTACGCTGACAACATCAGGGGTCTCTCCAACTCTTTTGGCGTCTTCCAGGCATACTACTCCACGAACCTCCTGCCCGACACGAACCCTTCGACGATTGCATGGATCGGATCTATCCAAATCTTCCTCATGATGCTGATCGGGGTCTGCGCAGGCTGGCTGCTTGACGCGGGATATCTCCGCTTCATCCTTGTCTGCGGCACCGCCATGACGTCCCTAGGTCTATTCATGCTCAGTTTGTGTACGAAGTACTGGCAGATTTTGCTGGCGCAGGCCTTCTGCGTGGGAATCGGGAGTGGGCTGTTGGGATTGACCTGCGTTGCCGTGATTCCGCTGTACTTTCAGAAGCGAAGGATGATCGCGACGGGGATCGCGGCTACAGGAAGTAGCTTGGGTAGGTGCACTCATGGCATTAGCGATACTCGTCGTCTTACTTTGATTTAGCTGGCATCGTGTATCCCATTATGGAAAGACGTCTCATCGCCTCTATCGGCTTTCCTTGGGCCGTCCGAGTGTTTGCCTTCATCGTCACGGCAAGTCTCCTGGTATGCATCGCCGTAATGCGTCTTCGGCCAAACCGCAAGCGCCGCGGTGCTCTCTTCCGACTGAAGCATTTCCATGACATCCCCTATGTAACCTTTTGCATCGGTAGGTCTCTCTCACAGGATCCCACCTCAACACCATCCCTAACACATGCCAGCCTTCGCTCTGATGATCGGCTCCGTGTACATCCCCTTCTTCTACGTGGATGCATATGCCATCCGTCTGGGCGTCGACGAGTCCACGTCCTTCTACATCCTCAGCGCGATGAACGCAGCCAGCCTCTTTGGGCGTCTCGCGCCCAACTGGCTTGCCGACAAATACGGCGGTATCAGCATCATGATGCCCTGCTGCCTTGGATCTGCCGTTGTCTTATTTCTCCTGCGCTTCGCGCATGACATGCCTGGTCTGATCGCGGTGTCCGTCGTCTACGGGTTCGTGTCCGGGGGCATGGTCTCGCTGCCGCCGGCCACGATTGCCAACCTGACGGACGACATGGCCGACTACGGGACGAGGATGGGCATGGGGTACACGATTGCGAGTATCGGAGCGCTGATCGGCAACCCCATCGGAGGTGCTGCGCAACGGCGTCGAGGAGATTCGGTTGCGGATGTTCAAAGGGAGTTTCAAGGGACCTGGATCTTTGCTGGAGGGTTCATGTTAGCGGCTGTTATTTCGATGGTTTTTTCAAAGTATTTGAGAGTAGGGTCCGTCTTGCGAGGGAAGTGTTAAGGCTTTGAGTGCTCCTTGTCTGCAGCAATGACATTGGGTTGCGAATGGCTTCTTAAGACTAAGAAATATGTAGCATCGAGCTTGAAAACAATGACGACAGAAACATCAACAAGCATCTGAAGCTGGAAGATTATGTGTCATTCTATACTGTGTCCGGTCAAAACAGTACCAGCGGCTTTGCCCAATTGCAGGGGTAATGCGCGAGCTTCCGGGAACTCGCTATCGGCGACCTGCCCTCTCCAAGCTCAGAGGACAATAACTGTTTCGGAGTAGCAGAAAGATTGAAGGTGAGAAATTTCTCCACCGACTTCGGACAAATAGCAGGTCTCTGAGACGAGCGTCGCACAAAAGAAGACTTCCGTAATGGACACAACTGGCTTTTTCGATGTTCCAACGACGACGACGACAAGTTGATGATTTGATACCCTTGAACCCAAGGAGACGAAAGTCATGACGTTGGGTAAACGATGGGTTTTGAACAGAAACCGCTTCATCGCGGACGTGGTCATTCCAGGCATCCGAAGACAACATTGGGCCAAAGTTACGATTGAATCTTACAACAAGTCGTCAAACACTGCGCAAAGGCCGCCATTCCCCATCCCAGAGCCTCCATCTCTTACACTTTATCAGCTCTCAAGACGTTATGGCTGACCATCAAGTCTTCGCCGGACAAACCTAAACATCGGCTGCTGAACAAAAACTACGTCATATCACACACGCGGCTACAATAAGAGCCGGCGATGAAGGATTCGTGGATGAATGACACAGGGCTTGCCTATGGAGTAAAAAGGCAGTCATCGGCCTTAAAGCTCTATGTAAGGCATAGGGTTTTGAAAAGGCTATGATCTGACATGTCGCGACCTAAAATGAGGCAGCAACGTTGCAAACTTAATCTTCATCACCGTTGCTTGATGTAACATCAAAATGTGATTTCAGAGTCGAACGTTCGAACCGTCTGCCTCACAGAAAGAGAGTCATGATGACACCACATTATGTCGATCTAAGCTAGATAACCCAAAAGCTCTCTGCGGCATCTATCACCAGGGCGTCCGAATGCTGAAGAGGAATTCAGGGGCGTATTCATGGCCACTTCGTGTGACAGCTACTGTCAGGAGAAAGTGCAACTGCCACGCTCTCCCTCCTGACAACCAACGCGATTCTCGGCAAGTATCTCGGATTACCTCGTATTTCTCAGCTCTGGCACCTTTTGGACTACGGTTTGCATTGCAGATACTTCAGAGGGAAACGAGCAGTCGTCACATGGGTACCGGAGGAACCGACTAATGATGAACCCCGTCGGCTCAGAACTTTCGGTCTTTGGGAAAATGCGCAGTCACATCGTCACCTGCCGCCCTGGAAAGGGGGAAGGGACCGGCCTAGTTAGTCTACCGGACAGATGTTGGTTGTCCAAACGTTACGTCTAGCGTCGAAACATTTCTCATCACTCACAAATCACTTCATCAAGGGATTCCCCCAGCCGAATGCCCCAAAAGGGCCGACCAGAGGTGATTTGCAAAAGCGTTTCTTCACCGCTCCCAACCTCGAACCAACCACTTTCCCACCCTTATGGTATACACCGCACCTCACCGGAGCCCCCTCCGATCCCTCACGGTCGTTCTGCAAGAACCATAATCGCCACCGCGTCGCCCAGCCTCGCGACATCGCTGCGCTGCAGAATCCTCATTTCGCGGGAAAACGGATGGCGAGGCAGACCGCAAAGAAAGAGGGCGTGGGAGTGGAGATGTGTGCCCTGGACAAGCGAGTCACCCTTAAAAGGGAGGGGCTTGTGAAATGAACTCTCTCGCGCCGCTGTGCTGGGTATATAGAAAAAAAAGCTTGCAGTCTCGTAGTTTACGGCGTGGTTCGGGGTCGATCGTCATCCGACGACGGCAGAGGAGGGCGCGCTCGCCGAGATACTCGAGACTCGCTACCACGAAACTGCTTTGCCATTTTTAGCCTCAGACCATTGTGTATGTGGAAACGGTTGTCTCTGAAGATTCTGAGGTGACGCAACGCATCTCACCCATCGTCGGTTGAAGGCTATCCCAAACACTGAGCCGTATCATCAGGCGTCGGTTTTCCAAGGT